TATATATATGGCTCCATCTTTGTATACGTATCCGTACGTGTTTTTAAATAAATATACAAATTTCTTTTTCTTTATACATTCATTTCGCGCACGCGCGCGCGCGCGCGCGCGCGTGTGTGTGTGTGTGTGTGTGTGTGTGTAAATCACTTGTGTATCATACATTAATTGTTGTTTTGCAAAGCTTGCAAAAACGTTTTATCTATAATCGTACAGTCCGATCGCAAACATATTGTTCACTTCGTACTTTCGTTCACAGCCATTATAAATCTTCCGACCGTATTCTTATATCTTTGCTCGTCTGTGTACTATTATCATAAACGTCTCTTTTATAATATAATCCATTAATCGCGCTAATCGCGCTGAGTTACGAGTACGCGAGTAACGTACTTGATTTTCTATCTATTAAGTATATACTATTCAGCCCTTTCGATTCTTCCCCTAAGCGCAAGAGCGGCATGATTCGATCTTTCGATTCTTCATCCTTGCAATTGATTGTACATCACTGAATTTATGCGAATCTTACATGAGTGACTTGCTAACCACTTGAGAGAAATCTCTTCGGAAATCTAACGACATCTGTTTTGTAATAAACATATCAACTTTTAATATTGAAATGTTTATAATAAAGAAATTCGTCAAAAAAGATACGATATGAGACTTACTTTTGTCAGATATATCACGTGCAATAATTAGAAATTAATGTATATACATCGTAAATAAGCAGGGTGCGTTCCGTTTCATGCATTATGCAAATATAGTGTATCATTTTATCCCTCTTATTCATTGAATGTTAAAGATAAAGTGATACATGATATATCATGCATAAAACGGAACCTTAAATTCGTAGCACAACCAAGTGTATCATGATGTTGTAAATCTCAATAATAGATTTCCGTTTCAATTAATACACGCGTGCGATTGCAACATCGCACTTTTTTAGAAGACCATAAACTTAAGATCGAACAGAGTGAACAGAATTGTTTCGTAAAAAGATTTTTTCAAGACACGCATTATTTTTTTATGCACATTCTCTCTCTCTCTCTATCTCTCCCTCTCACCTGCATACTCGTGTATATGACAAAAATCGATTTCTCGTATCGTATCTATGCAAGAGAATCCGCATTCACAGGTATAATCGACATCATGGTACTATTCGGTAGAAGAGTTCCGTTTTCACCGTCCTTCTCATTTACATCGGTATGATCTACCAACAGTTTCTGCTGTCGTGCTTGTTTCTTCTCACGTTCGATCTGGAAATGACAAAATATTACAAGTGATAATGTCAAACAGAGAAAGAATAAGAAAAAAAGAAAGAGAACACCGATAAAATGTGAAGATTTCATTCAACTTTTTCCACATTTTATTTTATTGCTTAAACCTCAATAAATACTTCAAGTTTTATGTCTCTCGCGATATGTCAACAAACCTTAAAGAATAGTCGAAGATAATGGCATGGAAACACGACACACTGCCCTTCCTCTTCCTCGGCATCGATATAAACACCACGAACTAGGATAGTATTGCTACAATTGAGAAGAACGAGGAAAACGAAGCAGCCAACATGAGTGATCCAGCAGGACAATTCTGGATTGTCCGGTAGCAGCCAGAGATCCAGCGCATTCCATATACCACGCCAGACGTTTACGGTGCCCAGAAAACTCAGAAAAAGAAAAACATCCGCAACCATCAAGCGAACCAGACCTTGAAGACGCGTGCAGATATATCGCATCAATGGTTGTAGACAAAACGTCACGGCGACTATAAAATACCCGATGGCCTGAAATTCGGTAATGCAAATTACGATAAAGTTATTTTTTATTATATTTCTCACACACACACACACACACACACATACACACACACAGCAGATAGAGAGAGCAATAGTAGTGATACGAGGGAGAACTCGTACTCGCTACATGAATATTAATTCTATTAAAGAGAAGACTTAATTGGGTTCCTTCCATTTAGCGACACAAGTCGACACAAGCATTATTCTATCTTTGTTGTTATTAAATATTGAAAAAAGAAAGAATGATGCGCGCTTATTGTTTCCTAGCTGCCCCGTACTATATAATTTCTAGACGCCAAATCTAAAAGTGTGCGGAAAAATAAAAGAAAAATGATTAAACAAATGAAACGTTTTTTATACCCCAACAAAAGTCTCATCGATTTGATGATATTCTAAAAAATCAATAAATGTTTTTCTCAAGTGCCGATAGTGATATATACGACAAATGTAACGAATCACGGATAACATTAAACATTTCATATAACGCATACACCGTGCGACAATTGTGCCATGTGCCGCGGCAATCATGCAATTGGCGAATATTCAATTATATAATCGAACTACCGGGGTGTGTGTAGTGTCATAGCATAGCGCATGTACGTCGTATGCCTGCAATGTAAAATTTGCAATTTCAAACGGATTTAAAAGTTAAGGGAGTTTTTTAAACTACTTTTATTCGTGATCACTCGTAATTATTCGAGGCTTACATTCCGATGTCGTCAAATGTATTTTATTTTATATCCATTTTAATTTTTATTACGTGACCTAAGTTTTGCCAATTTATAGTCCGTATTCCGATATGCACTGCTAGTACTGAAAAAATAATATACGTAACGGAAATTGTTATAGATTTTTAGTACTGGCATATATATATATATGTGTGTGTGTGTGTGTGTGTGTGCGTGCGTGCGTGCGTGCGTGTGTGTGTGTGTGTGTGTGTGTATCGGAAAGCGGAGCCTTAATCATTCCATGTTTAGTGATACGCGACAGTATTAAGTGCCTGCAGATTATTTCGTATGTGATGATATTAGATAGTGCAGATTATTTCGTATGTTGATTATATTAGATAGTGCGTACAAAATTTTCCACTTACGGAACAGAAATTGATATGCTTGAATTGCAATTGTAACGATACATCTTTAAGATGCAGTGTTTGTTATCGCGTAAATAAATTTATTAGATATTAAATATCAAAATATTTGTGTTATAATTAATTATGATTTAACATTCACTGCGACTATTATTGTTTACCCTCGCTACTATTGCTCATTGTTGTAATTATATATTATCGCTCCATTTTCTCCATATATCTGTTGGTTAAATTTTAAAATTATTTATATATAGTATTATTATTATTATTATTTTCCCCATGTTTTTCCTTCCTTATTACATTCTCTTGTAATTTTTCGACTTAATTGTATGTATTAATTTTGTTTTTATAATTTTGCTTTTTACGTTATCATATACTTCTGTTAATACAAAACAATAAAATAATAATATACATATAACCGCTTATAAGAAGTACGTACAGAGGACTCTGGAATGATGATTAAAAATAAATAAAATAAAGTAAAAAATAAAATATAAAATTTTAATTGATCTCTCTATCTTTTTATTTGAAGCAACGAACACACGCAGTTTGGCGCAGCCGCATGTGTTCGTGAGTACTAACAATAAATAATATAGTTACATACATGTATAGTATAACTGCAAAACGGTTGAATCAGAGCTAGATCACCTTACGAAGAAGTTGAATATAAGAAGTTGATTGCAATGTCGATGTGAAAAGTTTATATTTACCAGTGAGCCAATGGCAGAATACTCGGGGTTTTCCGGAAACAAGTAAATGTCGATCAAGATCCAAACTCCTCTCCAGACAAAGACAACTAATGTACCCACGACACCGACGCTGAAGGCGCAATCCAGTAAGTACAACGACCAGTCTCTCGTATTCTGTAACCGCACGCAACAGATCGCAATATCAAGTATATCAACATAAACAAATGACAATATATTTATTATTATAACATTAGAAATAGTAATAGCTAATATAGGTAATAAGAAAGACATTAGATAGAAGATAACAATAGTGAAATGCGCTACAATTCCGTGATATCTGTCACGTATTAATAGGGAAGTACATAAAACGTCAATGCAAAAATGATCCTTATCTTATCTCAAGTTATTTTCTTCCATCGCTAACGCGACACAGTAATATTTGCAGATTTGTGAAGAGGGAAAAATGCAAGGTAGCAATACAATTGCTAAAGTAGCTGTCGATCGATTTTCATTGATTAAAAGTGTTATTACCTCACTTAAATTTAAAGATGATAAATTGTATTAAGATATCATAAAAAAAAGAGAGATAAAGATCGGCCTTAAATGTGCATGTCATTCGTCAAATCACATTTCTATCAAACGATAATGTATGATAAACGTTGCCGTAGCAGAGAGAAAACAACATTAAATTATACGATTATGATTTTCGCACGCACGAACAATAACTGACAATTGTATCAATGTTTCCCGAGGATACTTTTATCGCGTAACATAATCTTTTTTGCGACATCATCGATATTTATTAGATTAGTAATTATTTTAACGCGCTTGCGCGGTAATAAATAAAGATGACAATAATTGCATTTTAAATGCAGTTACAGACGACAAATAAATTAGCGCACTTGCACACGCTAATGCGTACGTATAGACTATGCAGGCGCAATAGTGGTTGACGGTCGAGGGACCGGGCTGACTTGGCCGGAAACTGCGCTTATACACACCGATAACGACGCGAGCTTGGACGATGCGTGTAAATGATCGAAGCACATGCGAGTCGTATAATCGCGATTTACAATTTATCCATTTATGATTTACAACGCGTTTTATAGAATCGACAGTGCACAGTAAGTGCACAGTGAGCATAACAAAACGATAAATGTAAAGTTGAGAGAAAATTCTCTCTTGGTGCGCGTTCAAGTAGCGCTGTGCCAAGTGTTTAGCTTATTTAACGCGAATCCTCTGGATGTGCTGTTGATATTTTTTCATGGTCTTCTTTTGCATCCCTCCCTTTCTTCGCGGAATTGATAAATTTCGCGAAAAATTTTGTCTAGGTAAAAAGATCGGAAAAGCTGTATTTTTTACATCATTGTCCCAAGTTCCTATTACAACCATCTTGTTTTCTAGTTATCGCGCAAAACATTTAATAACTCCCGCATTCATGATTATGAAACTGAATATAATTAATTACGGATTAATCAAATGACTCTTGAAATGCGATTTAATCGTTAATATATTGAGATAGCTTGTAAATTTATTCTTTATCAATCTTTATATTCTCCGTATTTCTCGTATACTTGAATGGTATTAGCATATATTGTTGACATACTTTTGTGACATGCTTTTAACAAGGCATAAAACATTATTTTTATAAATATAAAATAATATATGTATCTCGAAAAATTCAAGAATTATCTTTGACATTACCCATATTTGCTAAGAAGAAGTAAGAAAATAATAAGTACTCGATAGCATACTTATCTTTCAAGACTCGCCAAAATACATAAAAGAAGTAAATAGCACATAGACAATGTCGTCATTAGTATATTATCAGGATTCAATAATTCCATCTTAGATCCTTTTTTATTACACGAATTCCTCAGATACCTCAATCTCTAACTTGTTTATCAAAATTAATCGAAATAAATTTTCCAGAAACTATTCAACTAATTCCTATTGCATTCGATATACAAGCGATTTCTCTATAATCTGACTTACGCGATCAGTGATGCAATGTGTTTTTTTTTTTTAACTACTCTCTCTCTCTCTCTCTCTCTCTCGATATAACATTTTTTCACAACTAGATTACACGATCACGATTATAATCTTATACAAGCGCGAGTATAAAAAAGTATTTTGAAATTTAAAGTTTAAAAGGAAAAAAGATTATGAAGAGGAAAATTTAAATTTTAAAAGAATAGATTGTAACGAAATCATGATTCGCGATCGCAAGGAGAATAAGACAAAAGTGTCGTGTGATGCAACTGGGATCTTAGAGAGCACCCTGATGGGGCACCCTGACAGAGAAAAAGATGGTTGGCAAGTACTTACGTTGACGCGAAACATAGTCTGCACTTCAAAGTAACCCGGACATGAGTCAAGAACGAGCGAGAACGGCGGCGCGGATACGTTGCGGACCGCGCGCATGAGACCAAGCGCGAGGAGACTAACGATGGTCGTGGCGGAGACGGTGCCGGGCGTCAGCTCCGTATAAATGTCCAGGGCCTTCCAGGCACCACGCCAGGCGTTTACGCAGCAGAAGCCGAATACGCCGGTGTAGAATCGCGAGCCGAGATAGTAGGACAGCCGGTGCTTGTCCGGATGCAGAACGTCGTCCAGGCCATGCTGCAGCACGCTGAAGGCAAAGAGGCCGGTGAAGCCGATCGTGATCGACGCAAAGCTGCTAAACACCGGCTCATCCGGGTAGACGTAGAAATCACTAAGTTCCCAAGTGCCGCGCCAGTAACCGACCACCGCCGGCGCGGCTATAAGCGCGGAGAATATCGTATCCAAGATCGTCAAGATGGCATAATGTAGACGATTCGATGATCTGGTGTCTAGACTCCCAGTCATCCTGGCACCAGCCGCACGCAACTCAACCATCCTTACCCAATCCGGATCGAATTTAGTAGTTGCGCCGCTCGTCATTACGCTGCATCGTTCGTACTCTCGAAATTACTATCGTACGTAGATTATAGATGAAAAAGGAAGGAAAGTAAAAGAGACGCGAAATTGTAATCGACTTACAATTAGAGAAACAAGCGGCGACTCATTTAGGCGCAATCACGTGTTCGACGTTTTAACGTTTTCCTGACATTCTCGTGCTATGATGTTCGATTCAACTTTCGCTTGATTCGGTTCTTATTCGTCGTCGTCGTCGTTGTCGTCATCGTCGTCGTCGTCGTCGTCGCCGCCGCCGCCGTCGTCGTCGTCGTCGTCGTCGTCATCATCGTCGTTATCGTCGCCGTCGTCGTAACATTGCGAACGAGTCTTCTATCTAGAAAAGATGATGGCATGCCTTCTCTTGCCGTATTCTTTCATCAGTTTGAGCCAACTTTTTTAGCGCTCCGAGAAGGCGTAAACTCGATTAATGACGCTCTTAAATGAAGCTTCTTCCAGTGATGAGTTCGCCATAAAATGTGTTTCTTCTCGAATATAAATTCAGTCTTGGCACTCGTCAGAGACTAGGACGATCGCTAGGATTGAAGAGAGAGAGAAAATGAAATATATGAAAAAATTTCGGTATCGCATTCACCTCATCCGCAAGTGCTTAGGGCCAACGATCAAAGAATCGGTAGCCGGTCGGACAGCGGTCGGAGTGACTACTGACTTGTCTTCGGTATAACCGCTATCTTTTATCAACCGCTAACCGCTAAACGCGCAGACCAACACTATCGCATTATCGCCAACAACGTCGTCGCTCGCGCGACAGACCACCGGCACGGAGGATAGTACCCGCGGTGTGCTCTCCTTTCCTCCCTCGTTCTCTCCTACACCGACGGTCCCCACCTATGATGCGTATGCGTTATAATCGCCTCGTTCCATCGTGTATATCGCGGTGCTATCACCGATTAGAACGATCGGTGGCAGCCGATGACAGCCACGCGCGTTCCTGTGATATCGCGAATACACGATTTAAAATCATTCGGTAGCGTGATCGAGTTACCACTGAATCGTCGCATCCACATTTATCTCTTTCGGTCTCTTTCATCTTTCGATACGCTCGTATTTTCTCCGTCATTTTAGATATTCTAAAAGAATTAAGGGAGAGTCGTCACCTTGAGTATGTATCTCAATGAATTAGAAGCCTGTTATACAACTTGTTTTTTCTTTCTTTATCTTAATGCAGTACGCAATATAGAAAAAACACCATATAAAGTTTGATATATTATAAATATACACGCAATATGCAAAACTATTGCATTGTTGTTAAGAGCGGTAAACGGCTAGAAAGATCTGAAAGAAAATATAAGAATGTTTAGATACTTGTAATGAAAGTGACAGAGATATTTTTATTTTTATTTTTTCGAAAAAGATATTTGAAGTTAAATTTTCAATGAGAAATGGTTAAAAAAATCGACTTGTCTATTTTACTTCGATTCAACTACAATGACATAATTTTTAATCACCTTGATGTTATTTTTTTCTGAACAATGTTTCCTGCCTCGCATTCATTTAACCATTGACGTATATTCATTTAACTATTGACGCTTTAGCCAAAATCGTCGCTAATCAACTGCTTTTTGTGTACCAATCAAGCTTGGGTTACAACATCTCACCTTCGTGAAACCCTAATTCGTCCCAGCGAGATCTCGTCAGGGTCACGAGATCCATTGCCACGTTGAAAGTGTGATACGGAAGATATTGAAAATAAAATTAATTATCAAATATTTGCCTCATAAACATTTATATGAAATTATTCGCGTCTACTTGCGAGAGAATACTGTTTTTTAAATAAGTATATAAACTTTAATACACACACACACACACACACACACACACACACACACACACACACACACACACACACACACACATACACACACATCGATTTGGATAGAAAAACCTCTTAAATAGATTAATCTATTGAAACACATTAATTAAATCGCATATCTGACTCGTGTCTAAATATAGATACAGAAACAATCAATTGAATTAGTATAGTACTTTTTAAAAATAATTAATGAGATTGAAAATTGATACTTAATTATATTAATAGCGCTATAACATTTATATTTATCGTAAATGATATTTATATCATAGCCGAAAAACTGTACATATTTTGAATTTAATTTAAAGACATTAATAATAAATTATTCCGGAAATAAATATTGTCTCAATAAATTAAGACTAGGTACAAACGATAGCTATATGTATTAACAGTGAAGCTACTGCAGAATTTGTAAAATTTTGTTTCGGATAACGTTTGGAAAATTACTAATACTGCTTTGCAATGGCTAATTTTAATAATTTTCTCTCTCTCTCTCTCTCTCTCTCTCAGCTGATTTATAAATAATATTTGAAATTAGACTTTTTTCTCGTTATATTTAACAATGATACTGTACGTAATTTATCATCGAAAATTTCTGATTGAGAAGAAACAGTTGCGTCTAAATTTCGCAGATAAAACATTACTGGTGTGTCAAACGCGATGCAATCATTATAACCAGTCAATAATTTGTGTCAAATATAATGGAAAAACGGATAACGCTTCGTTTACAGATAAGGAATATTGGTTCACGTCCGCATGCAATCGCAGCGCCTGCGTATCTCTATTATCAATGCACGATAATCGGTGAGAACATTTCGTAAACTTCCGGGGAAAACCGAGACACAATACAACACCGAGATTGTTAAATGGTGATCTCTCTATTTACAAAGTTGCAAGACCTTTGGGCTGTACTTGGTTGTACTTGCGTTTTGTTTGCAATTCATTCTTATCATTCTCACATTTTTAATTGATAAATTTTGTACACGAGAATTTGGCTTAAAAGTATGTTATATGTAATGCTGGAAGAAAATCAAAATTGAGAATAAAAAAGATGAGGGAAAAGAATCTTGTCGCATTGAGGAATGAAACGAAAGTAAAAAAAAACGTGCACGTATATAAGATGTTTGTGCGATTCGATAATTTGTGTGCATAATTAAGTAAACTATGATTTTATCAATTTAATACGATATCTACGTAAAATCTGACAAAAATTCGATAAGACGCTCTGTTAGAAACAACTAAATCTTCATCAGCTTCGTTCGAGACACGACTCTTGTGATAACGTTTGAAAAAGATTCTCTTTTACAATCTGCAGGAAACAAACGGGTAATCCTGTTGTTATTACACTTTCGTATATGTATATCAAAACGTATGTAGGTATGTACATGAATACAAGAGATGGAGAGATGGTTTCGTCGAATTGAAGCAAATTTACATAGATGTATGTACGATTATAATTTATGAACAACGTAGCAAAATCTTCGCGATTCGAGAGTACGATGTATAGATCATTAACTGCAATCGACAAAGCACATGCAGAAATATGCGCGTTTTGCCGCATATATAAATCCATTAATAAAAATTAAATACTTAAAATATGAGACAAAAGCATATACTCTTTCGGGAAGATCTGTGTATCGCTGTGTACATACCGTACGTATGTCCAATCGTTAAACACCATTTGGCAATTGAGTACAGGGTCGGGGCGGTTCTTCAGGCAGTAATCAAAGAAGTGACTGTCACGAAGCGCGCACGATCGTCAAAGCGACAATCGCGATGTAAGAAATCGAGACTATACGAAATCGTATAAGAAAATAAAGCCAGGAATTTGAAACAAAAACGAAAATCCCGACTGCTTGGATGGTCACGAGTAATACTTGGTTTTTATTTTTTTCGCATAATATTGTACGTTACAAAATATTATAAGCCGTCAAAATTCAAATACTTAGATCTATGAGTGCATAAAATAAGGAGATTTGACTCGAACTCACAAGACTAGTATTTCACTAACGCGTTAACCGACACTGATTATATCGCGTCGATTATCTTAAATTGTAACATTGCGAAAGACGGAAACAAGCTCAAATAGCGTTTATTCGTACGAGAGCTTCCAATAATTTAAAGTCCAATTAAGTAATTGCCCACTCACTATTTTAATCGTATATTGGCTTTTTTTACGCAAATGTTTTTGTATAAACGCGCTTATATATATATATATATATATATATATATATATATATAATTGCAATTATATAAATGTGTTATCTTTGAAATGTCACAGATATAACGTGTTGCAGATATACACAGATCTTATCAAGAGAGAGAGAGAGAGAGAGAGAGAGAGAGAGAGAGAGAGACTAAATTACTCCATTTTTAACTTACCATATTGTATCTAGTAGGAAATTGGAAAATGCAACTCGGCGTGTCGATGATAGTTATCAATGGAGTTGCTATCAAGTTTCTGATGGAACGTAGAATCGCCAAGCACGCCAATAACGAGCATGTTAATGACGTTGTTATCCTGTAGGCAGATGAAGTATAATAAATTGCCTGCTATATCGATCTAAATCTCACTTTCTCTGCTTTAATACTCCTAATCGCACGATAAAACATCACAAAACGTTAATTAATTTACCATGTATGCGTAAATAGGTAATTGTCGATGATGATCCAGCCACCCCGCCAATGCGCAATGCACGCTACTCCAAAGGTGTAAGTGTACAGAATTCGTAAGGCCCGATAAGGCAATCGTTTTCGCCAACTTAATTCAACCCACTTCTTCATATAGACGTTGTGAAATTGATGTTTGAAGATCGCATATGCTGCGTGCAAAACTACGCCAAACATAAAACAAAACCAACTGGGAAACCTGTTAACAAAATATCCTCGTATAAATACGTATCATATAAATACCATACAATTTACGTGAACGCTATAATTATAATAAAAATTTTAACGTTTCTCGCCATCTAGAAGTGACAGAAAAATATATATAAATTCTTAATACGAGAGAGACATTACGCGCTAGCCCACTATGTCGATTACATGGCAATTCGCGTGTTGATTACCACATTTACTAGCTATTATGTAGATGTAGATTAAATAAATATGTCATATCTTTCGATTTAGTAGTTCATTTTTAATGTCGTTATTAGAGCCATCTACAGCTGCGCAGATGTTAGCACTTGTCATCATGCTTATAAAATGGAAAATGTATAAAGATAATATCATTGATTGCTCATTATATCGATGCTAGCGACAGATCGAATCCATATTATTGTTATTAAGTATTTACGTTTGTTTTTTTCATATGTGTGTCGGATATTCCGATTAGGATGACGTGGGCATTCTACGTATATGTAATTAACTAATGGCATCGAAAATTCTCTGCGAATTAAGATGCGTTTCAATTTTGCATACATGATGTGCATGATATATATCATATTTTATTCTTGTTGCTCACTAAATGTTAAACAAGGATAAATGATACATCATATGCGCATCAGGAATGAAACGGAACACATTTCTATAGCTATATAAAGTCACGCATTAAAAATTTGCCAGGTGTTCCATTCGTAAATAGTATAAATACATGCATATTCATACATACCGTCAAATAAAATTTATACGTAATAATTTTAAACGTAATTGATGCTAATGCTAGCTTTATCCGCAGATATAGAAAATTAGTCTGATAGAATTCTAGCTACATCAGTTTGCCCTTTTTGAAACAATCTTATATTGTTTTACTTAATTGTACACCTAGATATCTCTTCGGAACAAAATATATCGTCGAAAAGATAAACATGCATATATATCTGTGACAATAAATCAAATGAATATATATAATTATCTCAATAACAATCGATTTAACAAACAGCTCCAATCTCGAATGATTTTTCATATGCAAGGTATACTCTTATATATTATATTATATATATTATTATCTAGCTTCGATCGTCATGGGAGATATATATTTTAGCCTCACTCACACATTATTTCAATTAATTTATTTCCTATTACTTTTAAATTGTTACTCACAATTCTGCATAACAATCCATGCTTGCCCATACACCCCTCCAAAAGCCAATCGCTAATGGAGCAATGATACTTGCAGAGATCAACGTATCGAGTAAAGAAAATGTTCGTTTTTTGCTTCTCGATCGTTTCAAGTCCTCCGATGATTGTTCTGTTGATTTAAATACTTTTTCGAAGATGTGGCCAGGGTTTCCACAACATATATACGATTTTTCTTCCTACAATCCCGTTGATACGAAATTAATAAAAATATTAATTAAATTACGTGAAAACGGGAGGGCAGAGAAGGAAGATATATATTAGGTTCAAATTTTTCCGTTCTTTTGTTTAGTATATGAATAATTATTAAAATAATGTTTTTACTATACATTGTAAATGCTTTATAATTATAATATAAATAAATATGCATATACTTATAATGCTATATATAATGCCAAAAAATTTTTTCCTTTACGTACTCTATTATCATCTTTATGTTTATAATTAAACACAGTTAAGATAATAACTATATAAAAATGTAGCTTAAACAAAATTAACTATTAGCAAGTTGTAAAAATGTATGTTGATTATAAATTTATATCAAATCGCGATAATACTGCATAACACTCTTCAATTACCTCCGGGCTTCTCGGACCCCTTTGATGGTTGGACAAAAATTTATTTATTCGATTTGAGAGAATGCTAAAAGGACGCGCGGGCAAACTCCATAATATTGCTGTTTTAGCGACGATTTATGCATATATGCATGCGTGCGATATTGATGTGTATGTATATATATATATATATATATACATACACTTACATACTTAATTTATATATTGAATTAATCATTTATCATGTGAAAAATAACTATAATAGCTAGGTGGTAATATAATATTATAGCTAAGAAACTGTAATTGCAAAGCTTTTTTTGTTTTTATATTATTTCTATCTCAACTTCACATGATTTAATTATTTACGTATTTTCTTGCATTTTGGAGAATTTTTTATTCTGCACAAGCGAAAAAAACAAAAAAGTACAATTGTCAGTATTACAGACGACTTTAGCATATATCGCCTCTTTATTGTAAAATTATTGCTACACTTGGAGGAATTAAGTTTATAGAAATTTATTACTCGTTTAAACTTAATTGAAGTAAAATTACAGTTTAATAACGTTATAAAAATGTAAAATATTCAAGATGTATATTTATAGTCTTCTATTGCACGCGCACGATTTAATATTTATATATTAATATTATTATTGCTAAATGCATAATGTAGTAATTTAATATTTAATTCAATAGAAATAACTTTTTGTAACATTTAGGCCTTTGAATTTAAAAATAATTTCAGAATTTAGGATCTTAATTGTACGTTCAATAAAAATCAAATGAAAATTATTAAGGAAGATCGAATTAAGGAAGAAATTTTACCTTAGCATTATCGATAATCGATATTGTCTTACTGTTTTCATAAGACTTATTGTCATTTTCTTCCGTTTCCACTCTTCCACTCGTGCAGGATCCAGAGAGACGATCGTTTTCATACTTATCAATCGATGTTAATATGCTGTCACATTTAGCAACGGCCGCGTTTAAATGTTTCTGCGATATTACCCGCGTTTGTTCGATATGACTGTTTAAATGAGAATCCACCGATTTTTCTATAAACTCTTTATCATCAAGCAAATCAGGATGCGATTTCGTATCATGGAACATATTTATCTTTTCTTATACTTGGAAGAAAATTAAATTCCTTCTTCTATTCGTACACGTTCGCGTACGATGTTCGCGTACACGACGCGCGTACAATACGCTACAATTCGTATTTAAGTCAATTCCAACGTACAAAATTGAATGGATCACGATCGAATGGAAATGAAACAATAATACAAAGGACAGCACGGAATTGATCATGTAGCAATCATCGCTTTACCACGTTCACCAGACCACATCTCACTTTATTGCACTCGGCACCTCGCTTGATTGAAAAGCGAGTACGAGAACTGCCGCCTTCCATGTCGCGTTAGCTAACTTATATTACAAAGTATATATGTATATATCCTCTAATATATCTTACAAACAAAATATGTAAAACGTCTGAGTCGATCTTTCGCCGTCTCATCTATACCACGTGGCATCATGTTCGAATTCATATTTTGAGTACAAAATTAGTATCCTGCTAGTCGTTGTCGGATCGCGATTCGATCGTTGTCTGTAGTTTCGTACTTCTCATTGCATTATTACAAAACTTCTCAACAATGAAAGCCAAGTATTTTTTTCTTTCTTTCCTTTTTCTTTTTAAATTTCAAGTACAAATCTTTCAAGTTTAAGCGTAATAATCTTGCTTTTTTTCGCGACAATACTTGATATACATATATAGTATATGTCTGTATTACCTCAAAATTCCACACCGAGAATCCATAATCGTCTATAATATCGAAGCGTGAACAGTGTCCAATGTGTCCGAATATACATATATGTATGTACATATATACACAATACCTAATAACTAAGTAATAAGTAATACTCGAATAATAATGCAGCATACGCGATGCGCAGTAATTTTTGGTGCGACATTGTAGCACGTGTACATGCCACAGCTATATACTGTTCCATTATCATTCAGGTGTTATTTAAATACGCGTTTTTGCTGCGCGTTTGCGCACACGAGGCCGAAGAATATAATTCCATATTCAAGGTAACATATAATCGGTGATAAGAAGAGAAGAAGAAACTCTGCAAATATGTAAAATATAAATACATAAGATAAAGTATTCAAAGAAATTAATTATCTGTACTCTCCCATTAATATATCCATAAATTATGAAAATGTAAACATGATATTATTCTGAAACAAATTGTATATCTAGAAACGCTGCCATTTCACAAAAAAATGGATAATAAAAATAAATGTATTATATAATCATATAAAAAAATGACTATTATCAGACTCATTTTTCAAAATTCTTCGTAACAGAGACTTGCGATTTTTTCGTCATTTTGCATTATCGATATATTGTACTCAACTATAAATAAGCTCTCCTCTGTAATTATTACTTAAATAAATGAAGCCGGTCTGGAAATTTTTTATTATGAGCTTTACAAAATAATCGGTTAAGCTTACGTTCTATAAATTTTTATTGCGTTATTTTTTTTATTTTCCAAAGAAATGTAAAATTAAGGTTCGATGTATCAAGTTTCATCTTATTATGATATCCAAATTTCTAGGCCATCTCGTTATTCGTTTGTGTTATTTAATTAGTACATTTTCATTTATAATCTTATATCATCAAATGTACCACATACAAAACATTTCATAAAGTTCTCAAACTTTACAAATGTATAATTTACAATAGTCTCATATATATTTTTGTGATTCAGCCAAATCTTTTGATTTTGCAATATCGAAGGAAATTCTAATGAAAATTTATTTGTTTTTCTTTTTTAATACGCTGTTGAAGTTTGAGACACAAGTGTTACAGAGCCCTTTGTATATGCAAATTTAGGAAACTGAGAGAAAAGTAGTACCATTTATCATTGATATCTCTCATATATGTAATCATATTTGTTCATACGCAACTATTGAGACACTTGTCAAAAAAAAAAAAAAGGAATGGAGAATATTGCAAATAAAATTAATTTAAAATGGCAAAGAAAATTGATCGAATCACGTGTAAGTATATATTCAAACTTGTCGATATTACTACTTATTCTTACATAAAAATTGTTATATCTGTGTGTGTGTGTGTGTGTGTGTGTGTGTGTGTGTGGGTGGGGGGGT